GTGCCCACCTCACCCCAAATTTTGGTATCATCAGCAAATGTAAACAGGTTGCTTTTCACCCCGTCATCCAAATCGCTAATAAAGAAATGGAACAGTGCGGGCCCAAGGACCGAGCCCTGGGGGACTCCACTGCCCACTTCCCCCCAGGTCGAATATGACCCGTCCACCACCACCCTCTGAGTACGACCCTTCAGCCAATCTGCAATCCATCTGACCATGTAGGCATCGATGCCACAGTTGCCTAGGTTTTTAATGATGGTGTGGTCGACAGTGTCAAAGGCCTTGCTGAAGTCCAGAAAGACTACATCCACGGCGACACCTGCATCCAATGCTTTTGTGACCTGATCGTAAAAGGCAATCAGGTTGGTCTGACATGACCTGCCCCTAATGAAACCGTGCTGGTTGCCCTTGAGCATCATCCCCGATGCCGGCCCATCACAGATGGGCTCCTTGATGATCTTCTCAAAGAGTTTCCCCAGGATTGAGGTAAGACTGATGGGCCTATAGTTGCCCAGGTCCTCTCTCCTCCCTTTTTTAAAGACGGGGACCACATTGGCCCTCTTCCAGTCGTCCGGCACCTGGCCCGAGCACCACGAGCGCTCGTAAAGCCGTGCCAAGGGCCCTGCAATAACCCCTGCTAGCTCCTTCAACACCCTGGGGTGGAGAGCATCCAGACCTGCTGATTTGAACACATCCAGCCCCTCCAGAAGCACTCAGACCCGGTCCTCCTCAACCTTAGGTCTGGAGGCGTTCCCCTGAGTCCGTCTTGAATCCCGGTGGGGGAGTCCCGGTCCCTGCACAAGAAAACGGAGGTGAAGAATTTGTGAAAGAGGTCTGCCTTCTCCTCTGGTGCAACCACCAGATTGCCCAGCGTATCTTGCAGGGGCCCCACGTTTCCCGGTGCCGGGCAGGTGCCTGTCTTACATTTGGGGGTCCTGGCTCCATCGCCCCAGGACAAAGACGAGGAAGTGGGTCCCAGCCTGGCTACGCCCAGGCCTGGCCTGGGACATCCTTGGAGCCTGGAGGGGGGCATTGCGGGGGATTTAGGAGCTGCTCCAGGGAGTGTGCCCTGCTATTCTGCCCCCAGCCAGGCTGCAATGAGGGGTCCCCGTGGGGAAGGGGGCCTGGGTGGCCCCCCAAGGTGGTGGGGATTTTACAGGGGCCCAAGTGACTCAGGACCCCCTCCGGCCCCTCGATGTCGGAGCCCAAAGTGGAGCCCAGGTGTCCAGGCACCCGGTCCTGGCAGGAGGGGCCCATTCAGCTGCATGGGCCTGTCCCGTAGCGCCTAAACCCTGGGTCAGGGCCAGCTCGGTGGAGCGTGGCAGCCCCGCTCTGCTCTGCCGCGTCCAAGGGGAAGCTGCAATGCCTCTGGCTCAGGAAGTGTCCGCGCTGGGTCGAGGCAGCGCCCTGGGGGGGTTTCATTTCCCCGCTGCCTGGGTCTTGCAGGGGCATTCGTTCCCCAGCACCTGCTTTTGGAGTGTGTGCGTGTATGTGTGTGTGTGTGTGTGTGTGTGTGGGGGGGTGGTGTTCCCTGCCCATCCCATCCCCCGCACTGGGTGGGCATGGCAGCTCAGAGGAGCAAAGTGACATGCCCAAGGCTGTGAGGGAGGGCGGTGGCAGAGACAGCACTAAGCCCTTCCCTGGCTGGGGGTGTTGAAGTGTGTGTGGGGCGGGGGGAGCTCTGTCTTGGGTGGCAAATATGGGGGTGGGGGCTGTCCCAGGGAGTCAGTGCGGGGCTGC